AAGACACTTCAGTTCTACCATACTTCTAAGTGATCTCAGCTCTATTCTCTCCAGAGAAAAAACGTCATGTTCTGAACCCTAACTGAAGTTGCTCTTCGATCGTTCCACACTGGTATCATTCCTGCAACTGAATACCATTTTTACGCATTTACCAGCCAGTGGGTGCAGAATCCAGTTATGAAGAACCTCAAGAGGTGTGGCTTCCACAATGCTACGTTGGGATTCGCATAGCCACACCCTAGAGCCTGGCCCCGAGAGGCAAAAAAGTTTGATGAAACCAGCCCCTACTATCCACCTTTCACAAAGGAACTTTCCCACACAACAGTCATAAGTGCGAAGAGAAAATCCCGCTATTAGAAAAAGATGAGGTCATCACTCCTCACAATTCTTGGTCTTTCTCAGTAGTAGGAGCTCCCTGAATGGATAAATGTCATCACTATAGAATATCATGCTTACCTCTTCTTTCTCAAGTGGCAGTTCACCCGAGTCGACAATCACAACCTTCGCACTTGGAGTGCCACTCTGGCTTCCTACAGCCTCGATCTTCTTCACCTGACAACAACCATCAACACGAGATGGACAATTCCAATCAATCACACGAAATTTTTCAAGGGATCGATTTCGAGACAGGGAATGCTCAACTGATGAATCTGCGGCCGTGTGAAACGTGACACAAACTGTGAGCTTCGTGCTCAACTACAATTGTGATGAGTCTTTCTATGAACTAAAATTTGGCTCACTCGAATTTCAGATCAGACATAACAGAATATCCACACAGGGTGTCAATGTGCTATTCACGATCTTTTGAGAAGCACAGAACAACAACTTTGACGAACTATGCAAGTATAGATTTCCCGAGGTATGCTGCTGTTTCACGAAATAAAAGTGGTTACTTAAGTCACATGATAGTAAACGCTGAGGATAGTCGAAGACTTACAATATCAACGCCCTTGGAGACACGTCCGAAAACAACATGACGGCCGTCCAGCCACGGGGTCTTCGCAACGGTAATGAAAAACTGAGATCCGTTCGAATCAGGACCAGCGTTGGCCATGGACAAAAGGTAGGGCTTGGTGTGCTTCAGGCCAAAGTTCTGAAGAAGACTTTTGAACAGCGGAGCGACGCACTTTTCGTACTTCATCAGCGAACTTCTCGCCGTAGATCGACTCGCCACCTCTGCCATCGCCCAGAGTGAAATCACCACCTTGGCACATGAATCCAGGAATCACCTACACACGGGAAGCAGGAGAGAATTTCCTCAGCCGACAGAAAACGTCAATTTCACGAGATAGATCAAGTCGTGAAAGAACGAAAAACTCTATGTTCATGGAATCAAGTCTAGATTTCAGAATCGACTGTTGCATCGTATTATACGTATTAGAAGCGATTCATTCTGAGTTTCGAAATCGGTTTATTAAACGATCCCAAGAATCTCAGAAGGAATGCCGAGGCCAACGAGTGACTCACTCTGTGGAAGGTGGAGCCCTTGTACCAAAGCGGCTTTCCACTCTTGCCGACTCCTTTCTCACCAGTACACAAAGCACGGAAGTTCTCAACGGTCTTGGGACTTGCTTGCCGTAAAGGTCGAATTCGATACGACCTAC